GCCTCAAACAAAGTTCATTTGATGAGGCAATTATTCAATTTACGGATGACGGAAGGAGCATCGGTGGCACAACACCTAAATGAACTCAACACAATCACAACCCAGTTGAGTTCAGTGGAAATTGAATTCGATGATGAAGTTCGAGCTTTAATTCTCTTATCATCTCTACCAGACAGTTGGAATGCTACTGTTACAGCAGTCATCAGTTCGTCGGGAAACAACAAAATTAAAATTCGACGATGTTCGGGATCTGGTACTGAGCGAAGAAATTCGACGGAGAGAATCGGGTGAAGCATCAACCTCCTCAGCCTTGCACACGGAGCCTAGAGGGAGAACTTCAGAAAGAAATTCAAATTGTGGCAGATCCAAATCCAGACGGGGAAAATCAAGAACAGGAAATAAAGATTTTACCTGTTATAATTGCGGCAAGAAGGGTCACTTCAAAAGAGATTGCTGAGCACCGAAGAAAAATACCGGCGCACAAGAATCTGCCAACATGACAGAGGAGACAGGTGATGCCATGATTCTAAGCGTCAACAGTCCGATTGAATCATGGATCTTGGATTCATGAGCATCTTTCCACTCCACCCCGTGCCAAAAAATCATGGAGAACTATGTCAGTGGTGATTTTGGGAAGGTTCATCTAGCTGATGATGAAACCTTGAAGATCGTCGGAAAATGAGACATCCGACTAAAGTTGCCAAACCAGACCACCTGGAACTGACAGGAGTGAGACATATTCCTGGCCTCAAAATAAATCTGATTTCTGTTGGACAGCTTGATGGAGAAGGATATAGTACAACCTTTTCAGGCTGTGAATGGAAGATTACCAAAAGAGCACTCGTCATTGCTCGTGGTAAAGAAGACTGGTACTCTCTATGTAACCTCAAATTTAGAGAATATCATTGCAGTAGCATATGCTGATGGAAAATCAAACCTATGGCACCAAAGGCTTGGCCATATGAGCGAGAAAGGGATCAAGACACTTTTGTCAAAAGGGAAGCTGCTGGATCTAAAGAATGTAGATGTCGGACTATGTGAGGATTGCATCTTTGGCAAACAAAAGAAAGTCAGCTTTACAAAGATTGGCAAGACTCCCAAGGCAGAAAGGTTAGAATTGGTTCATACTGATCTATAGGGACCATCCCCAGTTCCATCTCTTGCAGGCTCACTATATTATGTCACCTTCATCGATGATTCAACAAGGAATGTGTGGGTTTATTTTTTGAAGAAGAAATCAGAAGTCTTTGATACCTTCAGAAAATGGAAGGCCATGGTGGAAAATGAGACTGGTTTGAAAGTCAAGCGGTTGAGATGTGACAATGGAGGAGAGTACAGAGACAGTAGATTCAGAGATTTATGCGCAAACAATGGGATCAAGATGGAGACAACAGTTCCCATAACACCGCAGCAGAATGGCGTAGCAGAGCGCATGAACATAACTCTAAATGAACGTGCCAGAAGCATGAGGATACATGCCAGATTGCCCAAATTTCTATGGGCTGAAGCTATCAACACTGCAGCTTACCTGATCAACCGTGGGCCCTCAGTTCCTTTGGATGGCGGAACACCAGAGGAAGCTTGGAGCAAGAAAAAATAACATTTCACTTAAGAGTGTTTGGTTGTATTTCTTATGTACAAAACTCTGCTGAAAGAAGTAACTTGATGCCAGTCCAACAAATGCGTCTTTGTTGGTTACGGTGGCGATGAGTTCGGTTACCGGTTTTGGGACTACGAAAATCGAAAGATCATCAGAAGCAGAGACGCCATTTTCAATGAAAATGTGATGTACAAAGACAGGTCAACCGCAGTTATTCGCCTTCTTTGCACTACTTGTTGCTGACTGACAATGGTGAACCAGAGTGCTATGATGAAGCAATGCAGGTGGAGGATTCAGTCAAGTGGGAGTCTTCCATGAAAGATGAGATGGACTCGATTATGTCAAATCAGACGTGGGAATTAGCTGAATTACCACCAGGCAAGAAAGCGCTCCACAACAAGTGAATTTACAGGATCAAAGAAGAGCACGATGGGAGCAAACGCTACAAAGCAAGATTGGTTGTCAAAAGTTTTCAGCAAAAAGAAGGTATTGACTACAATGAAATTTTCTCTCCAGTCGTAAAATTGTCTACAATCAGACGGATCAAAGAAGAGCACGATGGGAGCAAACGCTACAAAGCAAGATTGGTTGTCAAAAGTTTTCAGCAAAAAGAAGGTATTGACTACAATGAAATTTTCTCTCCAGTCGTAAAATTGTCTACAATCAGACTGGTGTTGAAAATTGTAGCTGCAGAAAATTTACATCTTGAACAGTTAGATGTAAAGACACATTTCCTTCATGGTGATTTAGAGGAAGAAATCTATATGAGGCAGCCAGAAGGCTTCATAGAGGAAGGCAAGAAAAACCTGGTATGCAGGTTGAAGAAGAGCTTGTATGGTTTAAAACAAGCTCCTAGACAGTGGTACAAGAAGTTTGATAGTTTCATGAGTAGCAGTGGTTTTACAAGATGCCAAGCAGATCATTGTTGCTACATCAAGAGGTTCGATAACAGCTTCATTATTTTATTATTGTACGTTGATGACATGCTCGTTGCAGGCTCAGATATGCAAGAGATTATAAACTTGAAGCAAAAATTGTCGAAGCAGTTTGCTATGAAGGATCTAGGCGCTGCAAAGCAGATTCTTGGGATGAGGATCAAGAGAGACAGAAAGTCGGGAACTTTGATGTTATCACAGGCTGAGTACATAAAAAAAGTACTCTCCAGGTTCAACATGCAAGATGCTAAACCAGTAAGTACACCTTTAGGTGTTCATTTCAGACTCTCCAAAGACCAATCACCAAAGACGGAGGAAGAACGTGCACACATGGTGAAGGTGCTGTATGCCTCAGCAATTGGAAGTCTGATGTATGCCATGGTTTGTACCATACCAGATATTGCTCATGCAGTGGGAGCTGTTAGCAGGTACATGAATAATCCGGGCAAGATACACTGGGAAGCAGTCAAATGGATCCTCAGATATCTGCGGGGTATCACAAACAAAGCACTTTGTTTCAAAGGTGGAGATACGATATTGACAGGCTATGTAGATGCTGACTTAGCCGGAAATGTCGACATCAGAAGAAGCACTACAGGGTATGTCTATACTCTAGGAGGAACCGCAGTGAGTTGGGTTTCTCAACTACAGAAGATAGTTGCTCTCTCCACAACTGAAGCAGAATATGTCGCTGTTACGGAAGCCAGCAAGGAGATGGTTTGACTCCAAAGTTTCTTGGAAGAGTTAGGCAAGAAACAAGAAAACAATGTCTTGTATTGCGACAGTCAAAGTGCTATCCATCTAGCAAAGAATCCGTCTTTTCATTCCATAACGAAGCACATACAATTGCGATATCATTTTATCCGGTCTCTTCTGGAAGATGGGATTTTGAAACTTGAAAAGATTAGTGGAGCTCAAAATCCGGTAGACATGTTGACAAAGACGGTGACTACGGACAAACTGAAGTTGTGTTCAGCTTCAGTTGGCATGTTAGAATAACAAGACCAGAAATGCTGCTGCATCGATCGAGGTGTGAAGACAGATTAAAATCAGTCTTCAAGTGGGAGATTGTTGAAAATTAAAAAGCCACCGGCTGCTTTTAATTAGTCAAAAAGGGGGCTGCTTTGATTTCAAAGTTAGGCAGCCCATTTCTTTGAATTTTAGGCATGGGATAATTATTTTGAGTCATTGAACTTTAGGGTATTTTCAAAGATTAGTCCCTAAGTTTCAACTATAAATACCCTAGCTCATTTAGCTTCAAAATCATCCCAAAATCTTCTAGTTCTCTCTCAAGTGTGTTGTGTAAACACCTGTAAATTTTCTCTTAGTAAAAGATCTGCAGCAGCCCGGAGACGTAAGCACAATTGGCTGAATTCCGTTATCAATTTTCGGGTATTATTTTTCCGCTTTTATTTCGCATTCTCACTAATCTGGTTATAGGAAAATTACTTGTACTCGGTTTATTTCCTAACAAAATTCAATCTTTTCGCCAAAAAAACAAATAGATTAACGAAAATTTGAACCCCTTTTACCAAAGAAAAGAACAGGGAATTGATGAAACTTACATATTTGGACGGGTCTTCTTATCATGATGCCTTTAACAAATGATCTTATTGAGAGTGGGTTTTAATTTTAATTCCTTGACATGAACACACATCAACAATCTCAATGCTAACTGAGGAAAATAAAGAAACCATATTGTGTTACAGATTAAATATTATGTTATCCTGGTGTTTGAAAATCATCCAATACCTTATTTATCCTATAATTACAACAGTTTATAAAAAAAATCAACGAAAGCAGTAATTAAAGACACAATCATTTGAATTTCAAATGGGTTGTTAATTTGTTTTATCATTTGATATCTTTTAGGGTAAATTACACGTTTAGTACTTAAACTATCATGTTTGATCCGTTTTAATACCCAAAGTTTAATTATTATTTTTCAAAATCATACCTAACATTTAATTTTTTGTTTCATTTTAATACCTATCGTTAAAAACTTAACACGTTTAGTACCTAAACTATCAATTTTGATCCAATTTAGTACCTAAACTTTCATTTTTTTCTCAAAACTTTTATTTTTTTAACACTTAAGTTTTGGTACTAAAAATGAAACAAAAACTAAACTTTAAATATGATTTGAAAAAATTGAAAGTTCATGTATTAAAACGAATTAAAACTGATAGTTTAGGTATTAAATGCATAGTTTAGCCTATCTTTTATTTGACTGTGTTTATTTACTTTATCTTTTCATGTTGATAATGTAATTCGGTTAGAATTCTTCCTATATAAACCCTTCAACCATGATTCAGTAAATATACCTTTCAATTCTTTAGTAATAATATAAAGAAATATCGGAATTTATAACAAAGATAATATTTATTTAATTAGTCATGTATTACTTTACTACAAATAATACATGAAATTTTCCAAAAGCATGTTTTCCAGCAACATTACATCACTTATTTATTGGCCTTTCCGCTTGAATGGAGGCCGGCGAAGTAAGCCTGTGGGTTGCTCTCAAAAGCTCCCCTTGAAATAACACTTGCACCTTTACTACCTGGAGCCACCATCATTCCCGATCCCCCACCGCCTCCTTTGGATGTGCCTCCTCCGCCACCGCTGCCTCCGCCATTACCTTTGCCTCCTCCGCCACTACCTTTGCCTCCTCCGCCACTTCCACCTTTGCCACCCATTTCCAAAAGTGATAGCTTTCTCTGACGACTTGGCTATAAAAATGAATTTTCAAGACTGCAATGTGAGTGACGAAGTTAAAAACGTTTCAATATTTATACTAGCAATATGGTGACTAGTCGAATGGTCAAAATCAGATTTTAATTAATTTAGTTTTAAAATTAATTGATTAACGTCTCGTTTATTATTCTTATTTAATTAAGTTAAGCATTTAGTTTGCTTAGATTAATGGAGCGTCATTCAATGATAATCCGGCGATTTTGACCAACTTTGGAACTACAAATTTCATGCATTTTATTCTTTACCTCTGCCTCTGTGAAAAATAAATATTTTTAATAATCATTTTTATGTATTTCACTATTCACAGTTCATTGAATTAATTCAACATTTTTTTTTAGTTTTGAAATATTTTTTAAAAATACACGAATTAGTCCTTTTTAATTTTAATAATTCAAATTACATAATGATTGATGATATTAGTATGCAAATTACATAAAGTAGATAAATTAGTGCTGAAGTTTATCTCTTTGTAGCAAATTTCAGAAACAGTGTTCGATGAATTCTATTGAATTTTTCATTGGTTTAATGCATGCATTCATTTTCATTCTCTTATGCACTTCTACGTTTATTATGCTGATATTAACCCTTTGTTAATATAAAATCTAATTATAAATCAAATTTTAGTAAATAATAATTATCTATTTTAATTTATTTTTTAAATTTGTTATAAGATTACTTTTAAGAAAAGGCTTAATAATATAAAAGATTTTTGTAAAAAAAATCAAAATTTTATAGGATTTTCATAGTTATGTTTTTATATCTTAAAAATTAATTAATCAAATTTTATAGTTAAGTTTTTCGTCTGCCATATCATTATAACTTATATTTGTATTTTTCCCATTATTAATATAATAATTAGAGTTAACGTGGATTAACTTTTAATGAGATTACAATCAATTAATCTAATGAAATGAGACACTAAATTCCTTAAGTACGATCAAGAGTTCAAATCCTAATATTTGTAAATGGAACAAAGTGGATTGAGAAAGTCATTCCCATAATGGGTCTACAAACCCGATCTGAAATAGTCGATCAATAGATCGGATACTAATGATTAAAAAAATAAAATTATTTTAGATTTAAGAATTTAGAGAATTATAGATAGTTTAAATGTTGTACAAAAATCATGAAACTATACATAATTACAATCCAACATGATTTCTCTGAGGAAAAAACACAAAGCGTCGATATATACATCTTGAATAAGGATATCAGCCACTCTTAGAATACGCCATCAAGATTCAAAACCCCACCTCTCTGGTAAAAATTTCCCCATTGCCAAAGCAACCATCGTAATCCTTAAGCTGAATTGCAAACATATAAATATACAACACAACAACAGAGGCAACTCAAGTCCTGGGACTAGAAAGAGACTAACCTTGTGACTTGAGCTTTCTCTGCACGGTAGAACACCATGGCCCTTACGGGTTTTTTAATCGCCGGTCCGAGTCTGATGTTCCGATTTCCAGATTCTTGTTTTGTGAACATGGAAATGCTTGGTTATACAACCCCGTTTGTTTGGACTGTAGAGTTATTGGCTACTATCTGGTCCTGTAGTTTTCTCTTGATTTTGAGCAGCTTGAATAGGTTGTGTTGTTTTGGTCTTATCTTGGCTTGGAACTATTGAACGTTGGCCTTTCTCTACTTCTTTTGCATTCTGGTTTCGTCTCTCTTTCAGAAAACTGAGCCGTGTTGTCAGCTTTGCCAGTGCTGAAGTTGGGGAATTAACTCCCTGAACAGCAATATTAAGGTTAATTTGTACGAAAAATATGAAGCCGACTCGACCATGGTGTTACAAGAGCAAAAGAGTAAATTAATTTAGCATCAAAGATAGTCGGGTAGCTCTAATGTGCCGCGGATTAACCTAAGGTTAACTTTTACGAGTTTTATCCTAAAATATTATTTTGTTTGACCTAAAAAGTTACATAATTTAAGGATAAATAAACCTCAACTTGATTTTAAAAAAATAACTTTAAATTGACTTTGAGTTGTAATTTCATAAACTTGACTTGACCCAATTTGAAAAAATATCAAGTTCAAATCGAGCTATAAAATACAATTTGAATAACTCAAAATTTTTAGTAATTAATGTATTAATTTTCAAATTTTGAGTCGAACCCCTCAACTCTATATGATATATGTATATTACATATGAAAAAAATATAAAGATCGAAAAAATTTCAACTCAAGTTCGAATTATAAAATAGACTCGTCAACTTGAATAACTCGAAATTTTTTCTAGACTCGACTCGATCGAATGTTCTTAAAACAATTAGTAACAATTTTCAAAAATGTTATATTGTGACGGGTCTTAACCTAAAATGTTAGGTTCTTAATAAAATTTTCAGTTACTACCGATTTTGGTTTTTTTTAACCTTATATTAACAGGTTTTAGAGTCTTCCAAAAAACTTTGGTTAGTGATCAACTCAAATTCTATGAGTATTGTTCGATGCAATGGCGTCTGTGTTAAAACAAAATAGAACATACCTCGCCCTTGAGAGCAGACTTCTTTGCATTAACTAAAGCAGGGGAATTCCTTGCAGTTGTCTCGTCTGCACGCGTACGGTTGATGTTCTGTTCATTTGCCGAAGAGGGTTCTTGCTTCTCGTTCTCGCACTCAACTTTGTCCACATATTTACCCTGTTAAATCAGAATCACATTAGCTGCCTAAGAGATTACAGCATGTTTATCTCAAATGTAGCCCAAGCTTAAATCTAAATTTGAGTGGTCAACCGCATGCATGAACATAATACCTTCGTCAAAAACTTTGCATTGAAAACAAACCCAACCGAAGTAAAACAGTAGAATCGATACCAATTAATTTCTGGGAAAACTAGAGAACCACATGGTGCCTTAAAAGAATGCGAGTTTACCTTGCTTACTGACTTTTTCAAAGCAGCTTCAGCATCCTTTGGCTTATCCTTCCTTTATTAAGAGCAAAACAAACAGTATATTCATGAAAATGGAAATTGAAAATATAATTATAAATCCAAAGAGGATGATGTTTCTTTGCAGCATGAATAGTTGGCGAGTTGACAATTGTCAAAAACTCCGGGTGAATAAACCTCGATTCGACTAAAAAATTTATTTATTTATTTATTATCAATTTCAAGTTATTTAAGTAATTCGAGTCTACTAAAATTATCGAGTCAGTTTTTGAGTTAAAGTGAAGTTGAAATTTAAAATTTTTGAATCACTCAAAAAAAAAATAGTTGACTATTTTGATAATTTTGTGATTTAGCCTCTAATTTCCGTATTCCTTTGATTCTTCCTTCATTTTAAGTATATTTTTTTACTAAATTTTAACCATATGCTCCTTAACCACAATAGAATACCTATGTATTTTCAATTCCTCTTTTTATAAAAAAAAACTTTTTTATTTTTCATTTTAGTCCCTCAATTTTGCTTGATTTCATTATTTCTTCAATTTTCATCTTTTATTTTAAGTATGTTTTTGACCAAATTTGAACCACAATCTCTCATACCACTATAGAATACTTATGTAACTTCAACTCAATCAACCTATACCATAATATAAATAATTACAATTAAATTTTTATAGAAACTCGAACAACTCGACTCAACTTTCATAAATTCAATTCGAAAAAATTTTCAAATTAAGTTTGAGTCATAAAATACGACTTGTCAACTCGAAATTTTTTTACTCGACTCTCCTCGATCAAATACCCACCCTAGCCAGATGTATTTTATACTGAACAATTTGAACCACTAGAAGGATGACATGTATTCAACTCTCATAAACGAAAAAGACAGTAAAGAAATGTTTTGTAAGAAATATGATGATATTCCAGGAGAGAATCCAACTGAAAGCTTACATGTTTGATTGGTGATCCGGTTGATGTCGATTGGACGTATTATTCAGGGAAACAGAATTTTGCTCAAGCAGTTGATTTAGCTGCATCTGGAGATCATCAACCGTTTTGTTCAAATTGTTTATGTCTGCCTCTGCTTGAGCTATGTCATTGAGATCTGTCTTTGTCTTTATCATTATCAAAAGTTAAAATTTGATGCAAAATAAAAATTTTGATACGCTACTTAAATATTAGGTAAGCCATTGGCTACCTTCTCATCAAGTATATCTGGGAGAAATACAGGTCCTTGAGATGGCATAAGTCCAGCTTCCAGAGATGTTCTCTTATCTCTTTCCCTCTGCAACTCTTCCTCTAATCTTGATAACTTAAGTACAAGAAAGAGGAAATCAAGACCATGCCACTTTCATAAGGTTAACACAGTATTTTCGATGAAAACCATTAACTTTGTGCAACAAACAAGATAAGGAAAAAAATAAACAACGATGACTTATACTTTGAATGCTCCTAATTTGGACTTGTTTTAGATGTGCTGATTGCAAAAGAATTGATATTCAAGAGGGAAGAAGAGATGCATAAGGAGTGCGTGGCCTTTAATATTTTGAGAACAAGCATCTCTCTTGCTGCAGATAAATAGCCAAATGATAAAAGAAAAGTCCTTACAAACATACATCTATTTGGAGAGCTAGGCGACGCTCATGCAATGTCTTCTTTTGTTTCACCAAGCTGGCTTCGTGAATCGTTTTACCTTCAACCTGTACTAGAAAATGACTTGTCATGAAAAATGTCCAAACAAGTTGAGATAACAATAATCAGAAAGGGTGGGTTTAGCAGAACCTGTTCTGTGATTGTCTTTTGCAAGTCAGATTTTTCAGCCTCGATATTCTCTATATTAGCCCTAAATTGGGTCAAAATTAAGTAAAAGAAAATAGAATCATTATCTATGAAACACAATGGTATGAATCTATTTTGTTTTTGCCGTTTCCTTTTTGGTTTCAAAAATCATGTTATGCAAAGCATGAATTGCTTCATCTTAAGCATGAAAGATGGCTTCTAAAGGTGATTGGAACTTTTAGCGGGTATTGGTCCTCTATGCTATATGCAAGAATAACCAGGAAAAGAAGTATTTGCAGACAAATGAATACAAAGTTCTTTATACGGATCATGGGAACATCACTTACTCCTCTTTACGTGGAGAATCAATGCGTTCCATAGAAAGCTTCTTCTTCGCCTGGACAAGCAAACCAGATAATCAATTAGTTGCTACAGAATTATAAACACAGATCAACTTGAGCAATGTCAAGTTAATAATCTAAGGTAACTAGCAAGAACCAGAATGAATGTTTGGAAATACTTACGGCAGCCCATCCCCAAACAGCGGGACGCTTAACATTGTGGCCACGCTCAATTCTAATAGATGCGGATTTTGGGATGCATGAGATTTGATTGTGATGATTTAATTTATCCTCCAACTTGGTTACTCCTTGAGCATCTTTGGGACGCTCAGCAAACTTATTGGTCTTTATTGCTGAACTATTGCTACTCTGATTATCCTTACTCCTTTCTAAATCATTTTTAGACAGTGAAGAGTGACGTGAACTTGGGCTTGAATAATCAGAATCCTGCATTTTGTTTTTTGCAACCGCATATTGGCAACACAAACAAGATGCCTTTTGCCGTCAAAAACAGCAAAGGAGAACAAATCATGATTCCTAGAACACGAAGAGAGAGAGAGAGAGAGAGAGAGAGAACAACTTACAATATCCAGATCATTGTTAACAGGGTGACCACTCTTCCTGCCTGTTCCACTTGCTACATAGTCATTATCACTGAGCGCATCAGACCCTTGTTTTGCATCATCACAGTCATCGTCAGTTGTCTCCCGACTTACAATTCCACTCTCTTCCGTTTCAGAGTATAAATGAGGGGAAACATCATACCATTCCTGCAGCAAAATGATGAGTTCATAATCGCAATGTAAAAACCAAGTCCAAACCAAGGTAAGTAAAATTGGACCATGGAAAAAGAACAGCCAAATTTCGCTTTTATGTTTTTAAGAATATTATTAATATGATAATTTTAATCAGTATCTAGTGGCACTAATTAAAGTGATATTCAAGGGAAAATATGTAATTTATAGATTCTCTGTTATTGAATTTAGTGAAAACAGTGCCTTAAATGCCAAAAAAAACTTTATTTAAATAGTAATTTGACTACCTTTAACCAGTGCCTATATGCACCCTTTAGGTAGACCTTTTTAATTTTATAAAGACACAGAAATATTCGAATGGTTCAGCTATGATGGCTCGCACATTTATTTTCTCGCGTACTATGGAAAGAAATGTAGACTAATTTCTGTAGTATAAAAAATTATAATAGGATATAATGACTCCACTGTTTTCAAAGTCCACAATTAGATAGTTAATTTAGTCACTTTAGATTTTGTACCATTAATGGAGCAAACACACTAGGATAACACAAACAAGTTTCAACTAAATGATCATGTTTGCTTGAAAAGAACAAACAGAAAATAAAACATGTCAACTGTGACCTAAAGAGAGAGCCTCACAGTTCATAAATTGAAGGGGTACATATTTGTCTGCACACTGATTACATAAAGCCAAATCAGAAGTACTTGCGAAAAAGAAGACAAAATTTAAAGCTTACCCCAAATATTTTATCATACTCTTCGAGTAATGTTGTAACAATGGCTTGAGCATGATTGGCTGCAGCAACTGCTTGCAGCAGTTGAAATGAACTATCACCATCCACATCAAAACCGATTTCAATTTCACAGTTACCAGCTAGAAGGGGGCGAAGAAGCAAGGGTGCCATGCATGCCGCCACGGCTGAAGAGTTCATCAGATTTTCAGCTCTATGAGAAGCCACAGCTTGCATCATCTTCAGAATTCTGAAGGGAATGAACAAAAAAAGATAAATACGGATACAGGCAAATAGAAACCAATATGAAAAGAATGAGGGTGATTTTTTTAATTGTCAAAGTCAGATCGAAATCCAAGTTTTTTCCCCCAAAATGCCTATAGCTACAAGTAGAAAAGGTTACTAAAGGTATTTCATCCATAATCTTTCAACAATAATCAAGTTAGTGCGGAAAACTAATAGAAAGTTAAAATTTGTATACAACATTTTGTGTATTATTTAGGTCAGTAATATAAAAATATTCTTAATTAACCACCAAATGGAATCACAGCTTTCTTTTATTGAATCCATGATGCTCAGGAAACAAATATGCAAACTGCATCTCAAATTTAACATGTATTAAGAAAAGCATATTGATTAGAAGGGCAAAGAGTGAAGTAATGAATCAACTACCTTTGTAATAAGCGGCGGTTTGGCTCAGGAAACGTGTCCAATATTGCCACACGCATAGCATCTACTCTACCACCACTTTCAGATCCTAATCATTGTATGATATTCAATAATAACAAAACCAAATCTTGAAAAATTATACAGATAGGTAAAACATACAACACACAATGTCATAGAGCTTATGATACTGGGAAATTCAACTACATCCCTTAGGGAGCCAACTGATACAGAATTGAGAACAGGAACTCAGCACATGAAATTCCTACCGATTAATGAATTATAAAGTACAGCTTATATAATTTTTTTTTTGATACGAATGGAAGGCCTCGTTAAAAAAACCCCTCTTGATGAATGAAGCTTGAAATTAAGCTCCTTAATCAGCGGAAGGAGGAAAATAGTGCCTTTAGAGGCATAAAGAATCCAGATGTGGTGAAGCTTGCCATGAACTCAATTTACAACAGGGTAAGATACAGAAAACAAAGACAACCCAATGGAAACTTACGGCTTGCTTCTAGTAGTGCATTGCAGCATGATGCAGGGACAGGAGATGATGGCAACTCTCGAATGACATACTAGGACATGGAATGAAGAAAATTAAACAACACAGGATCAGGACCAGTACATGCTATAACTTAATGAAAGAATCCTAAGGAAACTAGTAAGGGACACCTTGACACAATCAGCAATGACATGTGGATCCTCCTCAGAAGTAAGCTCAGTTTTTCCTGCATAAAAGATTATGACCCTAAATAGTTTAGAAGACTGAACAAATATTCTGATATAGAATACAAAGTAATGTTAGCTTCCTGTTTCCCCTATTCAATAAGTAAAGTATCCTCCTTGCATGAATATCAATTTAAGTTTAAGTTCTTTACAAAGCTAGTTAATAGAATTGTTCACCTTAGAACATAAAGTAGCAAATGTGAAATTCCAGAGAAATTGAAAGAATAGAAGCTATGGAAGCTGAAGCCAACATCAAAAAAGAAAAGCAGAATACAGAAGATAGTCAAGGACAGAGTTTATCATAAACAAACCCTGTTCATATTCCTGAATTCGGCGCTTGACATCTTCAACATCAGCAGCTTGTCGTAAGACCCCTTCTGCTTTTGTTCCTGTTAAATAATTTTACCATCATCAACAATAGGTGAAAAGAAAATGAATTATGGTGCTTTACCAAATCACTTATTTCACTGAAAAATGTAGAAAATTCTTGAAAAAAAAAAGATAAAAGGAAGTTTGGATCCCATAATATTCTTTGAGCAATTATTGTCATTGCCACTAACTGTTTATTCCATGGTCTTGCAAAGTAAGATCATGACCATATTTTCTTCTTCTGTTCTTTTTCACAGCAAGTTTGGAAGCTATCCTGCAAATGTCTGGTATTCATAGAGGACTTGGAGACTGATCCTTTGAATTGCAATGGGCATTCGATGATCTTAATGGCTAATCCCTAGCTACTATTACTCCTAAACTTGCGTGGATAGTTCATATATGCTTTATTTGGAAAGAAATGAATTAGAGCAGAGCTGTAAACCGTTCAACAACCCTGATTTTATAGTTACTTTAATTAGGGAGCCTATTCACTATTCTGCTTAAGATTAGAAACTCTTTACTATCACTCATCATCCCAAAGAATCAAAGTTTGTAAAGCTCCTAGGGTTTGAATTAAGTGACTTTGTCAGTTTCTTTGTTTGAGGTTTCCAGTAGCATGGACTGATGTTTTGTAGCAAGTTTATCTCCCACGTCCCCACCCAAAAAATGGAGAAAAAATGCATGCACATATATTCACTATATTACACGGGGATTAGTGAGTTATCACTATAATGAAATTAGAAATTTAGCATACTACTTAAATGAGATTGCAACAATTAATGCAGAAGAAGAACTCACCGTGCTCTTCTACATATCTTAGGGCCTTCTCCAAAAATGTTGGAGCTCCATCAGCATCTTCTAGTGCAAGTAAAATTGGTTTTCCTATGACCGTAGATATCACAGGCTGTTTTCCGTTCACTAACAAAGAGAAAGAGGAGCAACAATACATCAAATGAGAAAATAAATAAATCAAAACAATCCACCATAGAAATTTGCTAACTTGGTACATTCGAGAAACAATTTATCTGGCTTGTAAAAAAACATAAGAGAGCAAACAGATAAAGAAAAACTAGAAGGCAGAACAAACTGAAATGAAAATAGGAGGAGCTGACAACTAGGCTCCCGATTTGTAACATGGTTAAATTGTTCTGATTATGTACGTCATAAAAATGAAGTTACAGATTATGTACTATTTCTAGTGTCCTAATTAGGAGCTGCGCGACCTTACCTGGTTCCTTAGAACCATCAACTGCATCTGCTTTATCATTTCTTGAGATGCCATTTTTCCCCATCACATGAGAAGAACTTGGTGCTTGTGAAAAAGCATTCTCAAATGCAGCCTTCCACTCGTACAAATCTTCTGAAGTTTCAGCCTGCAACACAAACAAAAGGAACCATAATGTCATCTGATTTTGACTTGCACTCGTACAAATCATCAGAAGTTCACCCACAGTATCAGATAGACACATAATCAATGCTTTTTGCTCTGCATTCCTGCCTTCAAAACCACTGATGTGGCTGAAAGCCTGAAACAATTCTCAATAAGAGGTTTCTCATGATAAAAGAATTCTATCACTGGTCAACATGGAAGAGACAGGCTTGAATAAAACTTAGATACCAAGGATAAATTTTTTATGTTCAGTGCATTCTGATAACACCCAGGTATCAGTTGCTGGTTAGATTCATTTGGTCATCTTTGGATGCAAGATCATTTAGTGTTTAGACAGTCTTGATGTTTAATGCCGTTCAAAGAGAGAGTGACAACTATTTATAAAGCTTAGGAACAAATAGAAATAGAACTAAAGAACCATGAATCAGAAAACCCATTTCATCTGAACAGTTTAGTGGAAGGAATGATTCAAAATAGAAAAAGTTGTACTCCTGAGAGATATTGTAGTTGGATAATGGGAGGAAGCACCTTTAGTGTGAAGTTTTTTCCATCTTCGCCATCTTCAAATAGTACAGTTATGAGTTTTTTATCAGCTTTGACAACCACACTAGAAATTTTGAAAGGTACCACAAGTTAGTAACACTTTCAACTTTCATGACATTCGCAACTTGAGGAAAAGATTAAGAATTTATCTAAGCCCACCTGCCTGAATTGTTGAGATCAATACCGCCAAGAGTTAAATTCACTTCATTCCCCCCCTTCGGAGGAATGGCAGTCTGAGAAGCAAAACAACAGAACATTGCTCTTTTAAAATCTTAAGAACACAAAAAGCGACAAGAGAAAGGGAAACAGACTAGTGCATGGTATGTGGAGAGAAGAGAACAAGATATAATATTAACATCTAAACAAAAGTAATAGAAAAATCATTTTTCTATGTTATTCTTCGAGCTGATGCTCCCAAATATCACACCCTGTAGAAGAGGCCAAATTTGTGTTATGGTGCATCTATATAAAGTTTAACCCAATTATAAATCGGGAGGACCTATCTAATGACTTTCCATCTTTCATTTTTAGAGTCATTGTGCTAGAGAATTAAGCAGTGTTTATTAACAATGATTTCTACTACAATAAAAGTAAATATGTTCAAATTGCTAATTGATCATTCTATAGCATTATTTTCTCCTTTATTTTAGAACCGCACTAATGATTTAATTTGTAGGTCATGTTTCCCAATTTCCTTAAGCTTAATGTAGCATTACAATTTCTTGCTTTTTCCAACCTCAAAATCATAAAACTGGTAACAAGACCAGTTGGATCCGACACGATTTTCATTTCCATTCATCTTTTTTTATCGAGAGAAATAGTAAACATAAAAAATAATTATAAAAAATTAGCATCATCCCCAATCTGAAATTTTAAAATCTTGCAGTCAGGAATACAACATCACATCGTTTGACCTCATATCCCTACACTTTTTTTATTGTTGAAAAAAGTCACTTTATTGTTTCTTTAGGATCGTTCACTTGTTGTGCCGAGAAAACAATGTAACGGATAAACAAGCACATGCACCATGTTTAACCCGAAAATCTTTCAGATTCCTAATACTTACTGGATCACTTCTGAAGAAAACTAACGAAGTTCGTGTCAAAATAAACCACCTTTTCTTCCATGATGTCCATCCAATTCCTGAAATCAAAGAAAAATAGGGGAAAGGCAATGTATAAATAACCCAGAGAAATCCAAGCCACCCTGGGACTGTGAGCTTCAACATAAACCTCATCATGCATATGTTTCTGGTAATAATGCAAGTAGAAATGGTAATTCATAATATGGAAGGCAAATGAGTAATTGAATTAATAGCAAAGCGCGATCAAACCAAAGTACAAACCTTTTGTTGATAAAAGAAGTGGCCCGCTCTTCAAAACCTGCAAGAAAGTTTTCAACCTTAAAAAAACCAACTTTTTCAACATAAATTGCATGCTTATTAGAAATAGCGAAAGCAGAACAATGTAAGCAATGATCTCAGGAAGGTAAAATCTAGTAATGGACTTAAAATACACAACAGTTCATGCTCTTGCATCTAAATTCCCTGTGGCCACTTAAGAATCTACATCAAGCTCAATGTGGCAAGTAACAGCAACGAATATCCAAAGAGAACAACTGCAATATAGTTAACCGTTTCAACAAAAAGTTCAGTTGAAATCACAAGCACATAAGACGTAGAGAAATGGTAGACAAAAATGATTGTAAACACAATTCGATGATGATGATGATAAATATATGGGTACAGATATATGAATTTCCAAGTACATGGAAAGAGAGAGTAGTTTACCAAGTTTTTGGCATGAAAACTTGGAGTCGGGTGCTCCAGCGGGGCTACTGGAGTAGACGGAGGGGGACCTGGATCAACTTCGATTGCAGCATCTCCCTTAAGAGAAAACAAAATGATATTCAACATAAAATCTCCTTTCAATAAAAAAAAATCAGGGTATAAGCTTCTTTTTTTCCACTGATGATTTAGCTTTTTTCCTTAAAAACTAAATCAGAAGAGAAAGCAGGACTGATTTGCACCTGCTGTCCATTAGAGGACTCTTCGTTTTTGGAATCCATCCTCTGCAAACAATGAGAAAGAAAACACAATATCGATGCAAACTTTCCATCAAACTATAATAATAATAGCAACAAGAATAATTCATCCTTTTTGTTAAGCATATTTTTAAAAAAACAATAAAGTAAAACTCCAACTATTAAATCAAAACGTAGTTTGGTTTTTTTCCCTGATTCTTAACACAAACTCTCCTAAAAACAGTAGAAAATTAACAAACAAAAAAAATATTGATCAACCTGTTCCGCTTGAACCGGCTCCTCCTTTATGCCAGGAATTTTCTGTCACAAGATAAAAATAAAATGTAATTCTCCATCTCTATTTTTCTGCTTCAAAATATCAAATTACCCTATAAACGAACAAGAAAATCAACGCATTAAAAATAACATCGAGATAGATTGATGGAAAACCTGTTGTTGCTGGGATTCTTCATTCTTTATGGTAGCCATAATCCTCTAAAATCACTCAAAATCAGGAAGAAAAAAATCTCAAACAGTTGATAAAGTCAAAGGATTCACAACCTCTGCACCAGCCTTGATATCTTCATTTACAACAATGCCGCTCATTCGCAAAATTTAAACACAAAAATAATTTGAAAACTCAAACATAAACCAAAATAACACCAAAAAATTCAAAAAAAAAATCTTAAAAGCTTTTTATGTGAATTTGAAACTTACTTTGACGGAAAACGGAAAAAATGAAAATATATAATAATAAAAATAAGGAAGAGAAAAGCAGAGAATATTCCTTTTTCTTTTTGTTTGTTTGTTTGTGTGAAAGTATTTTGGCTCAGAATTCTTAGCTCCACGGAAACACCATTTGGTCAAAGCAACGGAGAAGCATAAAAAGCGCTCCCTCCCAAAGGGAGCGGGCATTTGTACGGCAGTTGTACACGTCACCCCAAAATTATTGTGTTTTTTTTGGAGGGAAACTGAAATGGCCGTAATCTCTTTTTTTCCCTTTATTTATCTCACTGTTTTACACCACGTGATTGTGAATTCCCTAGCTGAGCCCACGTGGCTCAGATAATCCGCGCCAATGATAACGGTTGCTTTGATCTCCTTTGGGTCCATTGGGCTACATTATCAAATATATTTATACATGCTAAAGTACACAAATGATCCCTTAATTATATGGTAATACTTTATTCTATCGAATATTATAAGTTATAAAATGATCTCTTTATTATAGGGTGTTTATTTGTTGAGTACTCTCGATTATAAGAAGTTATAAAATGCTCGTTTGACTATTTATATGTTCTAATCTCATGCTTTTTTATTAAAAATTTAATAGTATTATGAGTTTGGCATTAACTTACTGATTGAGATATGATAAAGTCTGATCTTATAATCATTTGAATTTTATAGTCGTTTGAGATTTTGAAATTATATTTTATCATATAATTGTCAGCATATTAACGTCCAGCTCAGACAAAAGTCATTTTTAATGGAAAATGACGAGTTTGAAATATATGAATAGTTAGGTGATCATTTTGTAACTTTTAATAGTCGAATGACTCAACAAATCAACATCGTATAGTTAAAGGACTATTTTGTAACTTCTAATTATCGACGTGCTCAATAATGCATTATCATATAGTTAAGGAACCATATATATATATATAACAATATTTTTAAAATAATTTGTGATGATTGCTATATAATATTTGTTAAAAAATTCTCTAATTTAAAACTTATAAAAAGAATAATATTCCTTTTAACCATTGAAATCATTTTATGAGTTCATAGAATAACAAAACTTAAAAAAAAATCATTACAAAAAATATATATATCAAAATAAGTTATAAGTCTATTATGGTATATTCAAATTTTAGTTTTGGTTTCGGATAAATGAATTGATATTCATATAAAAGTTTCACAATAAAATATTATCTTGATTGATTGGATTCTTAAGTGAAAATTTACAATCAAATAAAGTCATTCAAATAAAAATGACATCTCAACCATGTTATCATTTAAAAATCTTATAATCAAATTTTAAGTGCTTATTTGATCATAAGTTTTTAAAAGATTAGTTATCAGATTGATCACCTACATTTCGTATTTGTAATTTTTGTTCACAAAATTCAAAACATTTTACGTTATCTATTTATTTAATTTTGGTCACTTATATTATCGATTGTTATATTTTAATCATTGAATTGTTAACTTTTGTTAACTTCATGATGTGACACGTTAGTCAAAATAAAATAATTTTTAATTTGAACCTTAAATTTTATGCGAAGTGTCAAATTTTAAAAAATATTTATAACATGAGGGATCAATGATAAAGAAAACAAGCTTGTAGTCCTCGCGCCAACAATAGCCCCGACAACAACACTCGTAATTAAAGTGTTTGTATGAAATGAAGAAAATAAGCTTGATGATAAAAAAAAGTAAAACAACAGGGGATGAAGAAAGCAAAACAAGATAGGAAGAGTCTTCAAACAGACGATCAAAGGTGGTCAAATGGTGTCAAGTTAGTCGATTTAACGTGTCGCATTAGGATTCTGTTACCACAATAACTATAGATATCATAAGTGATCAATTTATTATAAATTGATAACCTCAATGACCAAAATATTATTTTCAAAACATTGATGGAGAAAATAGAAATTTGTCAAATATCAGTGACCATTTATGTAGTTTACCTTAGTTTTATTCACTCTTATTTTTCAACACTACCAAGCAATGAATGAAAAAATATATATAATTTTCTTCAATTTCACCATAATTAATACCATGCACACCAATGGACTTTTACCCCTCCATCTAATATCGTTAAAAAAATTTGACATTTCCAACCAATTAATGACTACACATGATGGACTAAATTGAAAATAAGTTATAAATTAAAGATCAAATTGAAAAATATAAAAATTTGTGCATAAAAAACTCATTGTGCTCTATCATGCTCTAACTTTTTCTTAAGTCAAAATTTTCACTAAAATTGTCATCATCTCCTCAATGCTACTTATATTAGATTTAAAAATATAAAAAAATCACGAAATCAATATTTGTTTTTAGAACACTTAAATTTTTATATCTAAATTTAACTGTCATCTTGAATTAAAAAATATATTGTGGCTTATTCGCATCTTTAAAGGCCTTTTATTTATTCTAATTTGTACAAAAAAACACTTTGACACCTTTCAAATCGATTGAAATGCGAAAAACGATGATGTAAAATATTTTTAGTTTTTTCCAATTTTATCTTAAAGTATAATTTATTCTCAATTTAATCTTCTTTGTGTCATTCATTAATCAGATGAGAGAGTTACAACTTTTTAATGATGTCATACAAAATGACTGAAATTGATGGATCGGAACTTTAAGGACCACATTAAATAAACACGTCAAGGGACAAAATAAGAATCTGGCCATAGCATTCTATTAGTGTGTAGAAACTTATTGTTTTCACTTCGTTAAAGAATTGTGTAAAAGAATATAAAGTTATGGCCAAATGTAAAAACAAGTACTCAAAGTATGCCTAAAGTTAATTTTAAGCGTTTAAAAAAATTTTAGTTAAAAATAAGTGTAACGTTATAAATGTTACTATTTTAAGTGTATGAGATGTAACAGCAGTTAAAAATTCTATTAATTGACATATGTCACGTTATATTAATTTTAAATTTTTTTTTAAAACATTATATTTATAGAAAAAAACCTTAGTTTATCTAAAATTATAAAAAAGAATCTTAAATTCCTAAAATCATCCCTAAATCCTTAATCTTAACTCTTATTTATCCATTGCCACCAAACATCGCCATTATCATCTCCCTCTTGACAATCGTCTTCTTTGTTGTCGATTGCACCGTCGGGCCCCGTGGAGTTGTACAAATGTTACATTTTTTCCTTGTTGTCATTGGGTTTAAATCATAATTTGTGGTTCTTCATGTGATTCATCGTCTGGTGAAGGCGTAATGGAGATTAGGTCTAGTCGATGTAACGATAACAACAAAAGGCGGCGACCGACGTGAGTATAGAGATTAAAATTAGATTTTTTTAAGTTTTAAGTTTTTTAAGATTTAACAAAATTATAAGTTGTTTCTTTAAAAAATATATTTTATCATTTTATTTTAAGTATAAAAATTAAAAATTAAAAATTATCCGATGATAAGATGTGTCATTTAAAAAAAATTAAGGACGATTGTGATCCGAACATTAAATATGGTAACGTCGGAAACAATTTTTTTTTTTTTTATGAACTTCTTGATAAGGAGTCTGTCAGACAGCTGCGTGACCACCCCGGCTAGTCAAAGTCAGCTGAGAACGAAATAATATTGGAAATTTTAGACACGTTAAAAAAATACAAATTACTGTAGTATCTAAATCTCACACCGCTGCCGACAACCACCGTTTTTTTTTTACATATCACGGCTTTACGTCGACGATGGTAGTCGACTGGGACGATCGTCCTGAAGAAGCAGAAAAGGCGGAGCAAGATTATAACCTCAATTTCAACTTTCTTTCTCTTGTTTCCAAGGCAAAGGTAAACCCAACTCCTTGGGTTAAAATGTTAGCTTATTTATTTATTTTAAAAAGAAGATATATTTTAGAAATCTGCATGTGTTCTGAACTGGTTGTTTGAATGCAGGATTATTATAAGATATTGGAAGTTGATTACGATGCTACGGAGGATGCTATTCGTTCCAATTATATCCGTCTTGCACTGGTTCCATTTTTTCTTTTCTCAAAAGCTAAATTGATTTATTTATATATATTTCTTCTTTTTTATTTAATAGTATGGCGTTGTTTCTACGGAAATAGCATCCAGATAAGCATAAGGACGATGAGAATAACGCCACTTCAAGATTTCAAGAGATAAACGAGGCTTATCAGGGTAACATATCTTACTTTCGCTATCATTTCTTCTTTTCTGTTTAGGTGTTCGCTTGCTTTTTGAGTAAATTTATGATTCCTTTGATATATATATATATACATACATGGGTTTTCTGTATTCGTTTCATTATTCTGATGTTGCATATTTTTCGTTGAATCTTTTGTGTAAGGGAACCATTGAATTTATGCTATAATCTACATATCTTCCATAATCAGCATATTATTTTTTTTACTTGCAAACATTCTGTCTACGTTTGCCTCTTGTTTGTTGATATGTTCATAATTTAGTTTAGTTCAAGTAAATTGGGAAAATATGATTATCCCAAAAGAGAAAAAGTTGATGATGATAAGCAACATTAGCATCAGAGCAAAGAGAACTTTGGGCTGCTATAAGATACTTGCAATTCATAAGGTGTTGCATCTAATTAATTTTATATGCTCTTGATTGTTCTACGCTTTTCGGTTTATGATTTCACTACCTACCCTTCATATGGATTTATTTGAAAGATAATTATGGTGTTTGCTCATATGTTTAGCATGCCTCTTGTATGTCCATGAACAAGGATTCAAAATTAGGCAGTTGTTATTGGGCTTGGTTGCAAATATCTTCACGATTCCTCTTTAGTTTCGGGTAACCCTTTTTCTTTATTTCCAAGCATTTCAACAAGGATGCACAACTTACTCTTACAAAACCATCTTACTAAAGGTGAACTGTAATGGTATAAAATGTCATTTATAACAGTTATCTATGAAAATACGTTAGGTTTAAAATTGCCACACTGTTAATGCCATGCATTGCTATTTCTTAATGACTTGGTAGTTGGTAGCCATGTGATACTAAAGGGAGGAGTGAAAATTGTGCATGGTTGAGATAATAGCTAGCAAATCTATGATCATGTTCTGTCTACTGGCATGAATTGGTGAATTGAGTTTATATGCTTAATAATAGTTGAAATGCTGACTTGAAGTTAAAAAAAGAAAAGAGTATTAAGTATATTGATATGCATGTGAATATGAATTTGAGATTAACCATTGGTTGTTTTGGCATCATTTAACAGTTCTAATTGATCCAGTCAAAAGGAGTGAATATGACAAGAAGGGGATGTTGTATGCATATGACTATGACATAATTGTAAGAATTTCTTTCATCATACTTCGAAGTAAGTATATATACTTTTATACGTCTGGATGGATTAGACTTTATGTTTTATTCACTGGCTGCAGGAGTACTTTAACCGTTACAAAGGTCTTCTATTAACACGTAATGGTCTTGGGGTTAGGCAATCAATTTGGTAAGCCCTGACTGGAGGAACCGAGGTCCTTTCTGTTTATTGTCACCATGCTCAAACTTAGAGAAAACCAGATTTTTTGATGCTACAAACATTGCAGTTGAGGACGAGAACAAGCTTCGATGTATTACAAGGTCATGTTATATAACGGTTGTGAATACGAAGCAGAGAAATTCACGTAATCTGTAACATCTTATGCTTGTCTGCCTTGTGAGGGTATGACTAGTCGTCAAATGCATGCTTGCAGCTTGTTAATTTGGTAGCGTTGTAGGCATTATTTACACTCTAGGTAGGAACTTAGGAGCAAATATTTATGGAACCAATTTACTATTACTAGCTAGTTAATGCGATGGCCAGGGCTTTTCTATTTTACTTGGTAACTTGTTAGCTCAAGCCTAGTTAGTGGCTTACGTTTACCTAATTCAAGTGAGAAGTAACTTGTTAGCTTAAACTAACCCATTGACATGAATTAGAATCGATCTCAAGCAACATGTGTTGGGAAATTAGTGTGATATAGAACTGATTTCGATTTGCATTAACGTCTATATCATCTTAGATTCACAACGACATGAAAAAGGTAACCTAAGTGATGAGGGCTATGTAGAAATGAAAGTCAACTGCTTTAAATGCCCCTACCAATCAGCAGCTCATTATATTTCTTGCTATGTTTTTTCAATACGTGTATTTTTCATAATATAAATCTAAACAAATTTATAGGAACTATAGGCGCATTAATGCATGCTTGTTACTAGTAGGGTTTGTAGTTGGTGTTTACTAGTTAGGTAGGACTGTAGGAGCAACATGTTATGGGAACCAATTTCGTATTACTAGCTAGCTAGTTAATGGGTTGGCCAGTGCTCTCTTTTACTTGTCTTGGTAAGTTGTTAGTTCAGACATTAATATTAGTCTGGTGGGTGTCTCAAGTTTACCGATTATAGTGAGAGCTAACATGTAGACATAAATGGTAGAATCGTAATCATAGAGTACGACCCTAATCAAAATGCATATATTGGTCTCGGTATACTACGAGGAATAATGGTGAGAAAGAGAGATATTTTACATCCCAAAGGAGCTATGATTGGAGATATTATTTCTAGTACAAAAGCTCCTATAAAAATGAGAAAGGTCTTGCCTTTGAGTGCAGTTTGAGATATTAATTTACTTAATTGGAAGTATTTGGTTTTCTTAATTGGAAGTATTTGGTTTTACTTTGATGCTTTTCATTAAGGCAATATAATAAAGAAAATCAATTAATATCCAATGTTTATAATAAATTCTTCTTGAATGAGATTACTGATGATTGTTGCAGGCATGATTAGTCGTATAGGTAAATTAACTGCTCCTGGGAACTGATAGTTGGCATTGTGTAACAAGTAAACGGCAGAATATTTATTTTAGTAATTTCATATAATTTTTAAAACAAATAGCCGGTTTATAAATAATTAGTTACACCTGTTTAATTATAAATAATTAAATTTAAATTTAATAACTGAGCGATTTTTCTTTTAAAAGATTTCTGTTAATTTCTTTTAAAGATCATGGAAAGGAATATGTTGATGGAATTATTTTATTTTTATACAGTGACTAATCGACTCATAACTCCTAAATCATCTAAATTAATGGGAGTAATGTGTGTAAATGTATTTGTAATTATGGCAATTGATATAAGACTGAAAATAGAAATTCTTTCATTTATATTATTATTATTATTAATTACATTTTAAAAATAAGAGGTAATTTTTAAGAAAATGATTACTTAAGTTAAAACAATTATGTCTAGTATAGTTCAAAAGTATTAACTTAGTGGGTAGTTTTAACAATAGGTTAATCGTTTTTTTTCACAGTAAATGTCATAATAAACCGTAATTGATAAGCTTATTTTAAACAAAGTTTAATTATTCTTACTATTTTATTATTGATTCGATGTTATTGAATAAAATGATATCAAATTCCTTTAGACGTTTTGTATTAATATATGTATAAATGTATATCGTAATTTCAAAATTAGCTAATATAAGAATTCATTTAGCGACTTCATTAATCAGAGAGAGTTTTATTTTTTCAGAAGTTTTAAGTTTAAACAGCTGTCAGTAGAGATTGTATGAATTATTAATAAAAAAAACATATATTATTTTATAATCAACTCATACTATTAAAAAAATCAATTAATACGATAATTGATTTTAATGCATCTGAAAAAAATTCTTAAAACCTGAGTATATTATAAAGGTTTTATTCGTAAGCTAGTCCTTAAACTGTACCTTAATTATGTGATGAATCTTTATTAGGTGTCATACACTTTTGAGGTGAAACGAGAGACAAAAAAACAACAATGTAAGTATCACAATTGATAAAGAAACTTTAAGGACCAATCTGAAAGTTAAAATATAGTTTTAGGACCAAATTATTAATAAATCGGAAAGTTAGGTGACATTTGGTTGGATGGAATCCCTTGAAATTGGTGGGAATTGGAATCCAATTCTACCACTTTCCCATGTTTGGTTCAAGTTTTTTCAAGGGAATTGGAATCCTTGATGGAATTCAATTCTATCAAATGAGGGAAAGTGAATTCTATAAAAAAAAATGGATGGAATTCAATTCCCTTGTTGGAGAGAATTGAAATTTGACCATACTACCCTCATCAATCCTTTGGTAACTTATTCATATATTGAATAAAAATATTTTTTTATTATTTCGGGTCGGGTTTCTAATTCATATATTCGGGTCGGGTGAAACTTTATTTTGGTCGGGTCGGATCGGATTTTTTTAAGTGTGATATTCGGGTCGGGTCGGGTTAAGGGTAAAAAAAATGGACCGACCCGAAAATATATATAATTCAGATCGGGTCGGATTAAGTCATTGTTTTTATTAAATAAAAATATTTTTTTATTATTTTGGGTCGGGTCGGGTTGGATTTCTAATTCATATATTCGGGTCGGATGAAACTTTATTTTGTTCGGGTCGGGTCGGGTTTTTTAAATGTGATATTTGGGTCGAGTCGGGTCGAGTTTTTTTAAGTGTGATATTGGGGTTGGGTCGGGTTCGAGTTTAAGGTGAAAAAAACCGGACCGACCCGAAAATATATATAATTCGGGTCGGATTAAGTCACTGTTTTTATTAAATAAAAATATTTTTTTATTATTTCGGGTCGGATTTCTAATTCATATATTCGGGTCAGGTCGGATGAAACTTTATTTTGTTCGGGTCGGGTCGGGTTTTTTAAGTGTGGCATTCGGGTCGGGTTTTTTTAAGTGTGATATTCGGGTCGGGTTCGGGTTTAGGGTGAAAAAAACAGACCGACCCGAAAAAAATATATAATTTTACCTTATATATTTAGGAATAATTACAATAATACCCCTCTATATATAATTTTTTTTCAATTAAGTCAATGGTTTTATTGAATAAAAATAACTTTTTTATTATTTTGAGTAGTGTCGGGTCGAGTTTCTAATTCATATATTGAATAAAAATAATTTTTGGTATATCTTTCGATAACTTATTAACATATTTTGATTGCGATGATTTTAACTTATAATGTTTATTAGCATGATTTTTATAATTTATTGAAATGAATAATTAATCAATAAAATGAAAATTTAATATTTTTTAATTTTTTATAATATATTACTATATGTAAGTTGTAAAATAAACTAAAAAAAAAAATAAGAAGGGCAATTCTATTATTTTACATTACTGAAATTAAATTCATCTGACATGTCTGTGAACTAAATAAAATATAAAATTGGATTCCAATTCTATTTCCTGTCAACCAAACAGAATATGGAATTGGATTCTAATTCTTACATATTTTAATTCTTTCATAAATTCCATTTCAATGAACCAAACGCCACCTTAAATTTTAATATTTGATTTGCTGGATCTGAATGAAAGCCGCCAAAAGAAATATAATATAAAAAAAACCCAATGGCCGGTTGGAGAGAACGATAGAAGACGATGCTTTTGGATAGATTATTATCTTTCGAAACGCACCGTTTCGAGATGGCTGGGTCCCACTTATTTTTCAAATCAGTCACACTTTTCTCGACTCATAATCAGTATTTATTTTAAAAATAACACAGCCAACGATCAATAATTGTTCTAATCTCATTTTCTCAATTACCATTTTAACCTCTTAAACTAGGCATAAATGGTTAAATTTCACTCGAGGTCCCACAATATGTATTTACACTGATTTACTCCCTCTATTGTATTTTGATACTCCTAAAAATATGTAGTCAAATAACACGTTGTACAAAAGAATAACTCAAATGAGGTGATGATGAATTTATTTTCTTAATTAAGGTGTTTGTTACAATATAAGTAGAAAGACGTCTGGATTACCTAATGATCTTTAAAAGAAGTTTGATTGACTCACTAATTTTTGAATTTCACAACTTATTTGATTGTATATACTATAAAGAAAACGTCATATCTTCTATACGTTTCCCCCAAAGATAATATATCTTCTATGTGTATTCTTAAAGGCATCAATACTCTTCATGTCTTCCTACTTATATTATAATAAATACTCTAACTGAGAAAATAAATTTCGTCTAATTTTATTTGGGCACTTTTGACGGCTTAAGGAAGTACTTACGTTTTAAAAAATTGGAGATTAAAATGATGAAAATTATAGTAAAATAACTAAATCCAAAAACGTAGTTAGTATATGTACTTATGTATAATTTGACCACATAAAAGCTCTTTAAAACTTCAGGCCTTCAGCGCCTCCTAAAAAAAAGTTTGTTCTTTCCCTCGGAAGCTCACCGATTTCGGAAAATGGCGACGACGGTCCCCGATAACCTGAGCCGCGATCAATATGTGTACTTAGCCAAGCTATCCGAGCAAGCCGAGCGCTACGAGGAGATGGTTCAGTTCATGCAAAAGCTGGTCCTCGGCTCAACTCCATCCGGCGAACTAACCGTCGAGGAAAGGAACCTTCTCTCTGTAGCCTACAAAAATGTGATCGGATCTCTACGCGCCGCGTGGCGAATCGTTTCTTCAATCGAGCAAAAAGAAGAAGGTCGAAAGAACGAGGAACATGTTGTGCTCGTCAAGGAGTATAGATCGAAGATTGAATCTGAGTTGTCGGATGTTTGCGCTAGTATCTTGACTTTACTGGAATCGAATCTGATCCCTTCTGCTACTGCCGGTGAGTCGAAGGTTTTCTATTTGAAGATGAAAGGAGATTATTATCGCTATTTGGCGGAGTTTAAGGCTGGTGATGAGAGGAAAGCTGCTTCTGAGGATACTATGCTGTCTTACAAGGCTGCTCAGGTAATTGAATTTTATTGTACTATTTTGGATGCTGACTTGGGAGATTGTGATTTTACTGCTAGGGCTTCGGTTTTTAAGATTTTTGTATTAT